CACTGCAGGGGTACTTGGTGGTTGGTCACTGCAGGGACACTTGGTGGTTGAATACTCTGCAGTTGGGCACTGCAGAGATGCTGTGCGGTTGGGCACTGCAGTCAGGCTCCGGGCAAAGACAACATAGACTTTCAAAATCTAACAACCCCATTGCGAGGGTGGGGAAGAACGGTTTTTCTACGAAAAGGCGTTCATGCAACCACAGTCCGGAGGAGATGGCTGACCTCAGGGTGTCCATGTCTCTAAGAGGAGTCCTGGAGACCTCAACCGCATCAAGTGCCTGAGTGAGGAACTTAGCCTTCACAGCTACTGTTTTGAGCGCCTTTGGCAACTTAAGAGTTTTAATCACAGCGATGAGGTTTGCTTGTAGCGGCTTCAAACCTGGCAGTTGAATCTGTAGAAGTTCCGCGATACATTTTGCAAGCGATAGTCCCCTTCGCGGAGCAGTTTTCTTATCTCGGACCTTGTGGACCATAGCCAAGTTTAGGCCGGCTTAACTGACATGAAATGCTTAGTCCACACATGTTCCAAAACTCGGAAGTACAAGCAAGTGCCTCTCTCAACGACGCGTCAAGCTGGTTAAGAGAAAAGTCCGATAATTCTTTAACTGAGAAGAGTGGAGACCAGGGGTCCCAATACTCGAGAGGCCTGGCGACATGTTGGGTCTGGGAACCCCAAGCCCCTTCCGGATACCCTGAGAGGTGCAGAAGGTGTGGGGCAACATTGCACAGCCAGACTTGAAAGTACCCTCAAAAGAGTCGAGAAGTTTTTGGTACGACCACGAGCGGTCACTTAGGCCAATGGTAGAGAACAACGCGTGACTGACAGCCTGAGAAAGAGTATTGACATTGAAGGCCTTGAATAAATCAAGAGTCAAACCAGCAGTGGAATCGCCTTGACGGTGACTGGCCCCAATGATGCAAGACACCTCCAAGAAAGAGTGAGGCATGAGTCCCCATGATGCACACGACAGGCGCAGGCTTTCTAAGGAACACTTCTATCCAGACACGCCTATAGCATCACAGGTATCCTGCAGTCTTCGGAGCAGCAACTACCACTGGCACCGTGGAACCCTACGCAACTTCACAACCAATCAGAAACACCCAAACCTAAATCCAGGAATCCCAGTCCTAAACCTCTGGACGTATGAGCCCCTGATTTGAAGAATCTTGAAGTCAACCTTCAAACCTGAACCTGAAAGGCTAAGCCTCTAGACCACGTGTATCCGCTTCCCAACAGAGACACCATCACCAAGTTTTCAGCCCTCATAACCCTTGCGTTTCTCGTCTTGAAAAGCTGTGTGGACACCGTAAACGCATCACACCCTAGACCCTCAACTCGCAACCTGAAGCCCGTAAGCCCCAAAGCCTCACTTGATGCCCCCTTTTATCAAATACCAGAAACCTTCCTCCGCTGCGGGCACGTCCTTCTTTTGAGGCTCTGCCCGAGCAGCTGCACTTGCAGAGCTCCCCGTCCTCAGCTGTGATAGATTTCCGAATGCAAGCAGCTTGAAGTTTAAAGCAAAGGCTTATACGGATCCTCCTTTCTGAGCTAAGACTCATTAACGAGAATGGAGGACAATATCCTCTTAAGAACTTTCCATAAGGTCGAAGAAGAGACAAAGGCGCTAAGTTTGCTGCTTGAATCAAGGCTAGCGGGTTCGGTTGGGGTTCATGGTAAAGCATCACAGCATTCGTGGCTTGAAGGTCTAAGCCAAATTTCCTACGCTCGAAGTTTCATGATCGCATTGGCACCAAGAATCAATTAGTGCGAAGATCAGGGTGGATGCCAGTTAAATGTCTCACCAACCCCAGACGGCAGCAACAAAGAAGCCTGAAAAATGGAGCCTTCGTGTCACGGACTTCGATACCCTCCATTCCGCTCACCCCGAACCCCAAGCATGAAATACAGAGGTGAGCCTTGTCTTCCGCAGGCCCATGCATGCCATTCTGAGACAGCCAAAGATGCGCAGAATCAGCAGAACATTCCTGTCAACATCCAGATCCTGAGAAAGCGCTAAAACCAAATCAACTGTCAACTTGTCAGGGAGCACTGCCTGCAGCAAGGCGGTGCCATCATCCTGGCAGTCTTCCTGTCGCTAAGAACAGTACAGGCAGGGCTTCAGCGACTGTTGTTGGTTTTAATGCTCGTTTAAGCATGATGGCATAAGCAATCGGGACGACTACAGGAATCGTTATGGGTATCGTATAGGAAGTATCCAGCGGATCCATTCCGCCAGTCCCAGCCGCGCACCAAAACGTTTTGTCACGCCTGTTGGACCTGACGATACTCATCTTGACGGACGAGAGGCAAGATTGATTCTTAGATTTTTGTCCCGGAGGGAAGCGTCCTACAAAGTATGGTGCCAAGTTCAATGTAGATTCATGTCTGAGCTTCGAAGCAAAGAAACACTTAGTCCAATAAGGTCGGCATACAGGCGATATGCAACACTATATGCAACGTGGACTTATAATTTGCAGGTATCTGCACCTGTGTATTTATGATTAGCAAACGTCAGGAGCTTGCTGATGCTACCCAGCAACTAATTACTACACACTCGTGTGGTCCTCGAGACATGCCGGGGCGTCAAGCTCTCTGCTGTTGCAGGCAGCCAGCAGCAGAAAGATCCAGAAGTGCATGCTTTTCAGGGCCAGAAAGCAGTGCCTGGCCCCTCCCAGAGGAAGCTGCTGCGGAGCCAAGACTCTTTGCGTTGCTTATTTCATGCAGTGCGTACTTTCAGCCAGATTTTAAGCAGCGTTTCTGGGATCGAGGTTACGGTCAATGTGAGAGCTGCAGCGGAAGTAAAGAATCTGTTTCCTGCTTTTGGAATGCACTGCCCCTCACTACCATGGAACCCCATATAAGCCCCTGTGGACAGTAGTCCCCAAAGGGCCCTTTTTCCAAGTTTTGCATGAATTTGGGGGAACGTAAGGTTTCAAGTTGGGGGTTGCAGCAACACAGAACAGAAGTTTGTATGTTGTGCAACTGGATTTCAGCACTTTGTGTGGAATTGTTAATGACCCACCATTCCGTTCTGAGTAAAGTGCAAGAAGTATTGAGACAAGCTCGAATGGGCATCTGCAAAATCTGACGACATAGCTTGAGCAAGGCTTCGCGAATTCTTGCGTATCGCTCTGCAACTGATTTTCTGCGGATTTGCAACTTGTGCCTGCTGTACAAGATGCTCCTCAAGCAGGGTTGCAGGATCCGAGCTTAGTTTGCCACTTGCACCTGAATGGTATAGCAAATGGCGTGGTATGCGAAGGAACATGAGAAACATGAGAACCTCGAGCGCAACCAGAAGAGGAGTCAACCAAAATATCACGAGTAGAGGGCTACTCTGTGAGCAAAACCGCGCTCCCCGGTCACTTGTTGACATCTCTCGGCGCACGCATCTTGGACATGTCCACTTTGACATGCCTGGGTGCAGAAACCGGCTTCCGGAGAAAAACGGGGCTTTTAGGGTTCAGGGCTGACGGCTTAAGATGCTCCATGCCTAAGCTAGGAATCCACTTCATGCGCAGAACAAGGCCAGGAAGGATGTGGAATCCATGGGAGGATCTTGGCCTGTCTGTGAGGTGCTTGATGAAGATATGTGCTCAGTTTGTAGAACGTGCGTTGACTCGGTAATTACAGAGTTTGAAGCGGGACCTGGATATATCGAATCTCATGGGGTGATGTTCGTCAGACGCCTGTCAGCGCAAATGTAAAACCAGCCGCTCGGCCACTCAAGACTTAATCCAGCCCGGCTGAGCGGCCGACGTCAATTTATTTCTGCCTAGGCGACGTCAATCCGATCATCGCGATCATCATCTTGCATCAATGTGATTGATACGCAGCCAGGATGCTGTATAATCTTATGGCCTCATGAGGACCACATGTTGAGGTTCATCCAGGACTTTCATGTTAGAAAGTAAACATTTTGTACTCCTCCAACATCCGAAGGCTTAAGATTGAAGGCACTTTAGCCAACTCTTGTCGCACTACACGGCGTGCTATTTAGCTTCACCCGCCAGGGCGAAGGCAAGCTGTAAAGACTTGAAGTTAGAAGAGCGCCCGGCAGAGCATCCTGTGTGTCATGTTTGCCACAGCCCATCAAAACCCTACAAGCTCAACTCTATACACTGTTCCTCCAAGATGGACCTTGCGCGACTAAACGTTTTGGAGTGGCTGACCCTGGGGGGACAGATAGCGCTTCTACTTACCATGGCGTCTTTACACCCGACTGCGTGTGGAAAAAAGGCTTCAGGAGGCCCGCAACCAGCTCCAGCGCACTCTCAACACGAGATGAGTCATCTAATTCTGGCCACAACCACAGATCCTACTATATGAATTTAACTACGATGATCTGCGGGCAAAGCCCCTGGCCGACAAAGGCCTGGCGGCTTGGTTTTCTTGAAGTAAGCTCCATGATGGTCCTGAGGACAGCCCACTTTGGGGTTTGAGGCTAGGATTGATAGGTTGGAGCTGGGGCAAGGGATTGCCTACTCATCCTTCAGCTTGCATGTAATTTTCCAAGGGTCACGCGCGCGTTCCCAATAAGGGGTCCTAGGAAGCTCAAATATCCAAAGGCACATGACTGAACCAAGCATGCAACTAGCACCTCGCTCAACACGGTACCCTCCTCATGTACCTTCGCGCCTTTTTGTTTTGTTGATGGCTTTCTGGCTCCCCAGAAGGATGGGTTGGATGTTCTTTAACAGACTCTGAAACTTAGAGTCTCCAAGAGACTTACTCTCGGCTGTGTACGGCCAAGCCGGATGAAGATCGCGGACTGTGTGCCCCGGTGACATGCCTTGATAGCTGCTGCGCCTCTCAGCGCGCGTTTACGGCCCGTCCGAGCGTTGTGTTGGACCCAGAGAACAGAAAGAAAAGGGTCCTTCCAACCATGGGTTCAAGTACAAGTTCAAATTACTGCCAATGCTTTCAAACCCCTCAGATTGTGACCCGTCTAAATTTGCCCCAAAACCCTTCTCCGTTTTAAAGCAGCAGTATCCGCAGGGCTAGCGTTCTTTCTGGGATGGCTCCCTAGGTAGTTTTTTCATTAATCCCAGCATCGGTCTCATTGGTCCAGGATTCGTTCCCACTCGTCCACGCTACGACCCATTAGTCGAAGGGTGTGAGGAGTTCTGAGTTGACTTTATCATCAATACCCCATTAGTCCAAGCTCGCCCCATTAGTCCAAGACACGCCCCATTAGTCCAAGGCTATCCTATTGGTCCAAAAGTCGTTCCCACTAGTCCAAGCGATGCCTCATTGATGCCTCATCACTCCAAGGGCCTGAGGAGTTCTGAATTGATTTTATCGTCGCCCCATTAGTAAGGTTCAGGATGTAAGCCGCCTAGGATGTTTGCACATCGCAGGGCTTCTAAGGGCTTTGAGCTTTAGGTCTGAAATTTTCTTTTTCGTTCCATCAGCTGCGCAGGGAAAGCAAAGGATAGGGGCTATAGGATGCCATGTTCGAGGCTTACGGACTTGGTTCTTCTCCTGACGCTTTATGGTAAGGCGGCCGCTGACTCTGGCTGAGAGACTTGGAATGCCTCCCCACTTATGATGTTTTGGCTCTAGGGCGTGACTTCAGGGTCCACGACATAAGCAGGGTAGACGTGAGGTGCGTTGGTGAGTGTATCGGGGCCTCATATACAAAACACTTCAACTCAAACGGTATCTCGCCATATCGCAGTGCCGGGATTTTATACCTTTTTCAACCACCTGATGCCTTTTCGTTTGAGGAGGCTGATGTGGTGTTTGCAGCTTGAAGCATCAGAAACTGCTCCAGAAGGAACCAGAGTTCTAGTCATTCAAATGACTCTTCGTGCCTGGGTACTGGTGCATCAAAGACTTACTTGACACTTCACAGCCGGTAAGCTTGGACAATGAATCACAAGATTTTCCTTGATTGGACCAAAATGAGAAGCACGTGTGTCCATGGTGTCTTCTGCTGCTCTTTGGGTCCACATGCGAGAAAATCACCAAAGACTTAGGTGCCAGATGCCCAACGCTGCACGTCGGAATTCTAACAGGCTTCAAGACCTCAAGCTCCAATGGCCCGACCTTTGCAGCATACCTGTAAGCTGCAACCCTGCAGTCTACCAGCAACACCGCGCCAAGCAAGTCACAAGTGTGAGAAGTTTTGCCTGCAGGCTCGGCATGGCTGCGTTGCATGTACATAGATGCGGATGCGGCAATAACCTTGAATCTCGGGCCAAAGGGCCTGACCACCAGCAAACATGAATAACGGGTGCCAGAAATCTTGTTCACAAGAGTATGTCGTTCCGAAACAAACACCAGTTCCTCCATCCCGGGCAGGACCTACGAGGAAGCGACAGCCCTACATTGAAACAACAACAACTGCCAGAACAGAAGCTCGCGCTTGTCAAGGCTCATGGGCCCTTTCAGAATTCAGGGTGCGCCGGGTCAGGGTTTTTAAGTGTATACACCTCAAATCTTCGAGTGCTCCTGAATCAAGGATCCTATCGGCAGGGCAGGCGTCCCCAAGGGAGTGCAAATGTGAAACATCTTTGTCTCTGCATTGGCTGCCAGGATCAGCAGCGGAATCAACTCCTCCCCCTGCTGCGAAACCCCCATCCCAAAACTTTGAGCCCCAAACTCACATCACAGAGTGCTCCTTGAGATGTGTGGAGGGGCCGCCACTCCACCCATCCTCCCACCGGAAAGAATTGTGCCACTTTCTGAGGCCTCTCTTGGCTTCAGGCAGCCAGGAGTCTGTTCAAGAGACTTCTTAAAAGTCTTGGAAGAGAATAGTCAGTGCAAGGCCACGACGAAGGCTGCACCGTGATTGTTGTGAAACCCTCAGAAATGCTTTTTGGTCATGGAGTCCCTTAAGGAACGGTGTGCTTAGACTTAAGCTGGTTTGTGAAAGTTCATGTGTAATCAACCCTCAACTGAAGCGTCTGGCCTTTTTCCAAAGTCATGCAGCGATGCCTTGTCTGAAAGCGCTGCTGCTTCCAGGCCTGTCAGCTTGTCAGCTCACTTCATGACGGTGAACATACGTGAGATAGGAAACTCTTCAGCCACCACAATCCCCAGAATAACTTCACAAAAGCACCGTCAATCCTAAAACAGCCTCATCCTGTGGACTTCACAAGCTTCTGATGCTGGCATGTTCTAATCAAATGCAGCATCAACAGAAATCCGTTGAGAACTCTTAGGTTCAGGGAAATAATCGACATAGTTCACCAGAAGGAAATCTCCAGCTGAGCCGTTAAGCGGCCGTGACCACTTTGTGACGCCAGAGTGACATGCTGTCAATCTTGGAACGCAAGTTGGAGTCCTGCGGTCTTGAACTTCACGCTTCGTGGATCCACAAGCTAGTGTAGATGCCTACGATGTAAATGGAGCAACTACTAGGAATATGTTCAATACAAGCACATGATGATTCGGAGGGAGTACTCCCACCTGCCCGGGCGTCTGTCCTGCACAATAGGTACTCATGTTCACTGCCCTGAACACGGAACTGATCGCAACTGTATCACCCTTTTGAAAGCCTCCAGAAGGGATTCTAATTCAGCAGGCAGCGTAGACGGTCAACCCTGCATACCCATACAGACCCTAGAGACTTCCATGCATGTACCCCCGCGTATCCCGAAACCTCAGCACAAACCTGTCTTGGGCAACCCCTTGTCCGCCAACCACACGCATAAAGGAACCCTCAAGTACGAAGCAGAGTTTTGAGGATTTCAAAAGACTTACAGCATAATCTTTCCTGGTGTCCAGCTCACTCACCTTAAACCCAACACCACATAGTGAGATCACAAAGATTACGTCGCCTCCCAAAGCCCAAAGTTTGCACAGCAAATCCACTAGAGTCCTAGGGGCCTTGAGGTAAACCCTACACTCCAGGTTCAAAGTCTAGGCCTTAGGGGTTCAGGACTTAGGGATATTTAGGGCAACTACGATCACTGTAGTCCGTAGAGCCTTTGGATAAACCTATCTTTCGCCAAATCCGTGAAATTGCGGTCTGGCACAATACTTGTGGGCATTGGCGCCTGCCCCTGTCAACACTCTCCAATTGCCTATTCTTCCTCCAAGGAGGTTGGGTACATCTCCTGCAGGGGTTTTGGCTGAGGCTTCGAGGTTCACGGTTCAGCGTTCTTCCACTTGCTGTTGCTGAGCAGCAACAGTTTAGGGCTTTGGGGGCCGGGTAGGGGCGTGTTACTCAGTACCTGGAGGTCCTGTAATTACTTGAGTCTCGGCCAGTAGACCAGTGTTTCCCGGCCTATGGAACCTGGGACTGAGCCGCAGAAAGGAAAACCTAAACCGTGTGGCAAGAGGTCCGGCTTGAACCAGTACATTTACTCCCGTGCTTGCAAGTAGGGTTTGACGTTAGGAGGGCCTTGACCTTGCCGACCCTGCCCCATGGACAGAACGCAAGCCGTAAACCTAAACCAACCCACGGAAAACCACGTTGCAACTGATTCCTTGGCGACAAGTAGGGCAAAGTGCCTATAGTGGAGAGGCTATACACTGAAAGTGCCCCTCGCACATGTCACTGGCTCCCCCATGACTCCTTGTGTTCGCGTTAATTCTACGGAATCGCGTGCGGCGATGTACACTTATGTAATTATGAAATGGCTCGTGGGATTTGGTTAAGTCGATAAAGTTTGCACATAGGATTTGCTTCGAGCCTTGATCGACTGTAGGATTTGGCGTAAACGGGTTGAAGGCTCTACTCTCTCTGGTCTGGACATGCATGTACGTCAAGATGGTAGTTACATTTTTCAAAACCTTTGAACCTTGACGCCTGGACCCTGAAGTGGAAACAACCCCCAGGCCCCAAGTCCCATGGCCCGAGGCCGCTACCCTTCGGCAAACGTACGAACGCCCTGTTGGTGTCGCGTTATTGTGGGTGCGTCATAAAATCCAAAATGCATAGCCCCAACTTAAACACTGAACCCTGAAAAACCTAAATCCTGAAAACCTAACCCTCCCTGAGACCAGAGACTAAAATCTAAACTCGAAAGCCTAAACATTGATATGAAGAGCCCAGGCGCCATGGAGGAGTGCCAGAGCTCAGGATGAGTTTTGAGTGCTTCCAGGTACTGTGGGCCTAAGCTTCGTGAAGGCATCAGGGTTTAGGCTTAGGGTTTGGGATTCAGGGTTTGGAGTGTAGGGCTTAGGGTTTCGGACTTGCTTATGGAATTCTAATTGGGAGCGTTTGCTCTTTTTTCCTATGGGTGTGTTTGGGGTCAGGTTTTGTTTTTAGGTTCTAGGTTTTGCGGCGTTTATTTTTTTTTGCAGCGCCTCCTTTAGCCTTGCAGCGACACGTCCAAAAGCTGTTACCAGCAGACGCAGGAAGTGAAAAAGCCACCCCTCATTGCTTGACCAAGTTCAGCAAGCAAACGTCACGTGCTCATATTCTAAAACGGTCAGCTCCAAGACACTTAGTGCGCACTCATGCCGTTGATCAGCTCCCGAATTTTTTATGCGTTCACCACATTTCCGTTATCTTTCTGCTTTGTCTTGGTAGCTTTCTTCTTCAGTTTCCCTTTCTCTTGTTTCTTTCCTTCCTTTTGCTTTTACTTTGCACTTCCTTTGTACGCTTCATTGTCTTCTTCCCCTTGTTCGGTCGTCCTGCTTTCCTTCCCTTGTTCGCTTTTCACTGTCTTCTTTCGTTCTTTCTCCTCCACAACTTCTTCTTCTTCCTTTCCATCCTTCTGCTTGGCTCCCTCTCTGCCAGGAAGGTTTTCCATTTCCCAGATTCCATCTCCGGACCCTGTGGCACCATTACGGCCCTCTGGTGGATCTGTGTCCATCAAGCAGTCCAGGAGACTGGCACTCGTGCTTTTGGTTGTGACGTTGCTGCCAGCCTCACTTCTTGACGGTGTGAAGGGACTTCCCGCCCTCGTCCGGCGCAGCTGGATGCGTATCTCCCACACTCTTTGCTGCTCTCCCCTTTTCCTTGTCTTTTCCCTCCTTGCTCGTTCCAGTCCTTCCGCGTATCTTCTTTCCTGATCCTCAGATATTTGCTCCAAGTTCTCGGCCACATTCGGTGCCAGGTTGGAAGAGCTGGAGCTCCTGATGCGAGCTTCATCATTGCGCTCTCATCCTGTTCTGCCTGGTCTTCATCTTGTTCATTCGATCCTTGGGAGCTTTGGTGAATCACTGATGACCTCATCCTTGAGCTCCTCCACAAATTCAATGAATGCAGCCATCATCCGTTTGGCCTGCACTCCAGTCATGCTCCCAAGGAGGTTGTGGATGCTGTCATATCCAACAGCGTTCAACACAACGATAGGTTGATCCTTGTTGCGGAAGGCCTCACCCAGTGTCTCTTTCCACCGCGCCTTCATGAATTCCTTGTTTTCCTTCGAGTCATCTTGTTTGTTTTCTTTCTTAACTTCCTCCTGCAACTTCTCCTTTTGTTCCTCCGGCGTTTAAAGTTTAGGGTTGCAGGTTGTTGTCTTAAAGTACGGGCCCCTTATGGAAGTATTTCTACATTTTTTGGCAGATACCAGGATATTCTCGCACATAAAGGGATATGCGTATATATATATATATATGTATATGGTTTGGGGTGTAGGGCCCTTCAAGGCTTTTTCAGGGTTCGTATTCTGCTATACCAAGTTGTGGGCGTCTTGGCGACAAGGTTCGAGAGGAATCAGGGCTTGATGGAAACCCAATCGAATTGCATCTTCACATTTACTGTTGGCAAAATCGTAAATGACGCTAAGTATACACAAGCACCATAATTCCCAGAGCCTATGTACGTAAGGCCAGGCAGTGCTTTGTCCACCAACCATATTTAGTGTTGATAGTCGAAACCAAACATGACCGTTGACGTCCAAACCTTAGGAACTCTGGCAGCATGTTATGACCCCCCAAATCTCAAGAAGATCCAACGATGAGGACATTTGAGGACAAGAGGCCCAGGAAGCCCATTATTGTCCGTACTTAAAGGCTAATGAAAGCGTGGATTCCCTGAGCACCAATGGTTAGACATGAACCCATGGCTCTGCAAAGCTTCGAGAAAGCTGCTCACATCTTGCTCCGTTTCATACAGGGTCTTGTAGCCCCCAACCTGTATAATGGAGAGCCAAGTGGGCCACATCGAAATCATATGGAAAATGCATGGGATATTGAGGTTGCATTGGAATTTCATGAGGGGATTTTGGCCACCCCAACCCTTATAATCAGGATCCTTTGACTATCGAAGCGCTTCCAATACCGTTTCCATTTTTTGCAATTGATTCTTATATATTTCCGTAACATGCCTAAAACACCCGAGAACATTGGACCCTACTTTCTAGGCCGCCTCCGTCCCTCTCTAAACCGGAACACCATGGCACCAAAAATCTTAAGCCGTGGATAAAACCCAATACAGATGGTAGCTTACAGGCGTAAGTCTTTCTATTGCACTCCTATGAGCTATTGGGATCTTATGGCAATCCTTATGGGAATACTATGGAAGCCACCCACATGTAGACTTTCGACCTGTAGATGGCTTCAATCAGAAGCCTTACCAACTTGCCCTCTAAACACAAAACCACGGAACCTATACATGAAGGACTGAACACTCATCCCTATCTCTAATCCAACATAACCAGGTCGCTGAACTCTAGCTCCAAACTCAGCCCTCCCCTAAAAGGACTGACCTCTTAAAACAAGGTTACATTGGCTTCCATGTTTGAAGGAGGTAAAACCGCCAACACCCAAACCCAAAACCCTTCCCTAGCTCAAATTTCCAAACCTCAACACCCGATATGGGGTTTCCCCAAATTAGGTTTACTTTTTTGGGGGGTGGGGGTGTTATAACAAGAAACCCGAAGCCTGGACCCTAAACCCCATAAGGCAATCGTCAATACTTCCAAAGCTGGTGGGAATGCAGAACCGGCGACTGAGGTCCACCAACACGTCCACCATAGGTGCGGGATCCCTGTCTAATGCAAGGGTAGAACTATGGGCCCTGGTATGGGCCCTTTATTCCGGGGCTTCGGGTTACAGTTGGGCATGGTGGGCATTTAGGGGTTTAAGGCTTTAGGATTTAGAGCTTGTGTTGTAGGGATTGGGCTTTCAGTAATGTAGGGTTTGAGGCTTCAGGGTTTAGAGCTTGTGATGTGGAGATCTTAAGTTTGATGGTTTGAGCCCTGGCAGAATGGTTTAAATGTCAGAGGCTTGGTGATCTAAGCACGGAGGATTGACATGGCCCGCAGCTGCATTCTCTGGTTCTAAGTACGAAATTCTGAATATGCCTGCAAGTTCTGCTGAGGCATATGCTGCAGTATGGTTCAGGGTCTCGAGATTTAGCGTGAAGTGTTGTAGGTTTTAGGGTTGAAGGTTGACAGGGATTCAAGGCTCAGGGATTTGAGGTATAGGATTTAGGACCTTTGAGTTTAGCGCGAGTATTCTAGCTTCGGCACTGGCTTCCACTCCAAATGAATTTGACAATGCTTGTTGATAACCGTCTCTGTAAATCCCGCAGCCTCATGTGGGGCAACCGGCCTCGAGCCACACCCATCGCTGCGAATGGATGATATTCCTTCAGGCGGATGGTTGAGCGTTTACGGTTTGGGTTTAGGATTTAGACCGTAGTGTAGGCTCTCTCTATAGGTATATATGTAGAACTAACTATATCGAAAAAACATCTACACACTGGAAACCAGAAAGTTGAATTGGCATCCCCTTACCCCAAACCTCAGTGAGAGCGCAAAATAACTCTTTGTACAGCGTTCCAGCTTGCTAGCTTGCACTCTTTTGGTTTTGGGCAGGAATATGATATAAAGTTATGGAGAATCAAATGTAAAATGTTGGTTTAGGGTTAGATTTTTGGGACTGCAAGCTTAAAGCTCAGGTTTGAGACCTGCGTGCAGTGCTCGGGGTCCAGGGTCTGCATGGGTTCAGGGCTTAGTTTCTTGGTCGGGCTAGGAAAAGTCGCATTTGCGCAGCTGGTTTCGTTTTTTTCTAGGTACCCCAGCTACCCCCACTTGGGGGTGTGCATACAGTCTAAGGCCTTAGTCACATCAGTTTTCGTTTCCACTCAAGATCCCCTTAGAACGCATCGATGCGACTGGGTCACATCATGGTCACATCACCTATCGGTTTACTCTGCAGAGAACGATATGGGAAAGAATTCTTCGCACAAGCGAAATGCGCAAAAACCCTGAGAAAAAGCTAGGATTTGTACGGGGATCCATAGTTTTAGTTGGATTTTTTTGGGTCATCCTCGCTAGCAGCTGGGAATTTCCATCGGAGGGCTCGCGTTGGTAGATAAGATTAAGGGGATCCATTGTTTTTGGATTTTAGCACATGGGGAATTCCATCGGAGGACGCTTCCTGGTAGATAAGGGCCAGGCGTCAGCTTAAGCCATGGTAAAGTCATTGCTTCGATGTTTTTCCTGATGTAGATGTTGTCTTATGGAAATCATGGCGAAGTGTTTGCTTTGAGTGTTTCCCTGAGGAGACCGCGAGTAGCCTGAGTAGTCAACGCGAATTTTGATCGATGGCGGGATCTGCCATTCCAGTACTAAAGCCGTTTTACCAGAGAACGAGAATCTAGTCGCTGGGAGCGGCCGTTCCATTGCTGAAGTTGTACTACCAGAAAACGAAAATCCGTCCAGTCGCCGGGAGCGGCCGTTCCAATACTAAAGTTGTACTACCGGCGAACGAAACTCCGTCCAGTCGCCGGGAGCAAGCAGCCATTCCAATACTAAAGTTGTACTACCGGCGCACGAAACTCCGTCCAGTCGTGTCCAGTCGCCGGGAACGGCCGTTCCAGTACTAAAGTTGTACTACCAGTGAACGACGAAAATCCATCATGACTTGCCTTGCCTGTAGAACTTTAGGCCAGCGATCAGCCATCAACTCCATGAGAATGCTTTGATGCATGAACTTGAGCCGGAAGCCAACGTTGCTGTATGTTGTACACACATCGTGGGCAGCAGACGCTGCGTTCACAAGAGCCAGGAAGAGTTTGCAGAAATGTTGCGTATTTAGCAAACGTTAACGCTTGCAGCATGTTTCATGCGCAATATGGCCACCAAACATCAGCGCGGAGATGTCGCCTATGTGGCAGACGACTAGATTTGCATGTGAACGAGCGAAAGGCACAACACCCTGGCAAAAGGCACAACAAATGAGGCTTCCCCGAAGTAGGCGCATCGTTCCGGAAACATCAGAAAAATAGACAACTGATGCCAAAATCCGCGACTGAATGGCGGGGGCAAGCCCAAGCCCTCTCAAGATAACGCTTGAACAAGCGAATCACCCGTCCTACGCCACATGTCCCTGCCAAAAATAAGAGGTAGTTTCCGAGTTATTCAGAATTTCATGATTTTCATAGCGCCCCGGGACGATACAGGCATCCGACAACAAAGTCATACCAAAGTCATAGCAAGGCTTCCGCTCCCCCATTGAAACGCAATGTCCTAGCAGCCACGGAAAATCATAGCATTTTTGTTTCCCCCAAG